CTATGTTTTGCTTACATTCAATTTATATCCTGCAAAGTCTCCAAATTTGCTTAGAGTGAAATAATTTGAGGAGTAATGTGTTTGGTTCATTTATACAGTATATATTAACACATCAGCATATAGCCCCACCTTGTGTTCATCATCTGAAATAGTTATACTTTTGTTGCTATTTGTCTGTCTAATTAATTGAGGGAGTGGTTCTATATAGAGGGCAAATAATAATAGTGAGAGTCCACATCCTTGTTTCGTTCCTTGTTCTAATTAAATATTGTTTGATAAATGTCCATTAATTATTTGTGCAGTTGGTTTTGTGTATATTGTTCTAATTACTTTAATAAAATCAGAATTAAAATTAATTTTCTACAGTACTTGATAAAGGAAATTCCAACTTGCAGAGTCAAAAGCTTTTTCAGCATCCAGACTAATTACTGCTGCTTGCAATTGATGTTTCTGAATGTGGTTTAGTATGTGTAATGTCCATCTTATATTATCATGAGTTTGTCTCTGTGGGATAAAACCTGTTTGATCAGTACAAATGTTGTGGAAGTATCTCCTCTATCCTCTTTGACAGAATCGATGTAAAGAGTTTATAATCAACATTAAGAACAGAGATAGGACTAAAAGAACTGCAGTCAAGTACCCTCTTTGGGGATTGCAGATATAGTAGCTTGTTTCCACGACGGAGGTATTTTACCAAATAGTTTTTCAATGTCAATGTAAGTGGTTACATAAAAGTGTGGAGAAAGAAAGGAACTGTTAATGAAGCACACAAGCTCATCTGTGAAGCATGGTGCAGGTAATGTCATGGCTGCTTCTGGAACAGGCTCAATATTTATTGATGTTACTGATGACATCAGCAGAATGAATTTTGAAATGTACAGAAACATTTTGTCTGCCAATTTAGAGAAAAATGCATCCTGGAGGAATTTTATCATGCAGAAGGACAATGACTCAAAACACACTGCCAACAAAACAAAGGACTTCATCAGGGGGAAAAAAGTGGAACGTTTTAGATTGACCAAGTCAGTCACCTAACCTTAACCCAAAAGAGCATGCATTTCACCTCCTGAAGGGGAGACCGAAGGGAGAAACCCCCGAAACAAATCAACTGTAAGAAGCAGCGGTAAAAGCCTGGAACAGCACCGCAAATGAAGAATGCAACAGTTTGTTGATGTCGATGGGTCACAAGCTTGACTCAGTAATTGCAAGCAAGGGTTATGCCACCAAATACAGGTGCTGGTCATAAAATTAGAATATCATGAAAAAGTTTATTTATTTCAGTAATTTCATTCAAAAAGTTAAACTTGCATATTATATTCATTTATTACATAGACTGATATACTTCAAATGGTATTTCTTTTAATTTTGATGATTAAAACTGACAAGGAAAAAAAAAATACCAAATTCAGTATTTCAGGAAATTAGAATATTGTGAAAAGGTTCAATATTAAAAGACACATGGTGCCACACTCTAATCAGCTAATTAACTCAAAACCTGCAAAGGCCTTTAAATCGTCTCTCAGTCTCAAAATCTTGTGGTGTATTACAAGCGGATATATCCCAAGTTGTTTAATGCATCTACGTGTAAATACCAGAAATAAAAGCAGACAATCGGAACTATTGCCTCATGCTCATCTTTAGAGCTTGAACCCAAATGTCTTCAGAGAACGACAAAAACAGGGGAATTGGACTTGCTGTTCCAATACTTTTGGAGGGGACTGTATAAATACAGGACTGTACACACACACACACACACACACACACACACACACGTTCTTCTATCCTCATGGGGACTTTGCATTGACTTCTATTCATTTACTGGTCATTTCTATAGCCTAACCCTGCCCCCCTGCCCTAAAACTAGCCTCACACACCTGACCCTAAATCTAACCTATACTCACTTCACACCTTAGTCCTAAATCAAACCTCTGACCCACCAATGGGGATGGGGCTTTTGATCCCATTAGGAACAGTGGGTCCTCACCAAGTAGGAAAATGGTCAAAAATCATACCCACCAGGTAGCAAAAACATATAAACACACGAGTTCCTACAGCTTACGACTAGTTAAATTTAAGAGTTTGATGCCACTTGGAATGAAATTTAAGACCAGCTTCTCAATAAACACAAAAAACAAATTTAAATGTATAAAAAAAAAACCAGCAACAACTTTACACAAATGTTTATTTTAACAAAAAAAAATCCAGCTGCAAGAGGCATTCGGTAAATTATTTTTAAAAATTAAATGTGACTAATTACTTTAATATTCGAAACGAATTACAATCAGCCTACTTACATTGAATTAACATTTTTAAGACATCCCAAAGATTGATTTAAGACATTTAGGCTAATTAAGGCCTTATTTTTGGATTGATGAATTCAATGCCTCTTAAGACTTTTTAAGAATCTGCAGGAATCGTGATATACAGTACAGACCAAAAGTTTGGACACACCTCATTCAAATAGTTTTATTTTCATGACTATGAAAATTGTAGATTCACGCTGAAGGCATCAAAACCATGAATTAACACATGTGGAATTATATACTTAACAAAAAAAGTGTGAAACAACTGAAAATATGTCTTATATTCTAGGTTCTTCAAAGTAGCCACTTTTTGCTTTGATTACTGCTTCACACACTCTTGATGAGCTTCAAGAGGTAGTCACCTGAAATGGTCTTCCAACACTCTTGAAGGAGTTCCCAGAGATGATTAGCACTTGTTCGCCCTTTTGCCTTCACTCTGCGGTCCAGCTCACCCCAAACCATCTGGATTGGGTTCAGGTCTGGTGACTGTGGAGGCCAGGTCATCTGGCGCAGCACTCCAGCACTCTCTTTCTTGGTCAAATAGCCCTAACACAGCCTGGAGCTGTGTTTGGGGTCATTGTCCTGCTGAAAAATAAATGATGGTCTAACTAAACTGAAACCAGATCAAATAGCATGCCACTGCAAGATGCTGTGGTAGCCATGCTGGTTCAGTATGTCTTCAATTTTGAATAAATCCCCAACAGTGTCACCAGCAAAGCACCCCCACACCACCATACCTCCTCCTCCATGCTTCATGGTGGAAACCAGGCATGTAGAGTCCATCCGTTCACCTTTTCTTCGTCACACAAAGACACGGTGGTTGGAGCCAAATAGTGCTCGGCGGTATACCGTTTTGTACCGAAAACCGATTTTTATTTTTGTTGTGATATGACTTTTCTGAATACCAGTGTAAATAGTCTGAACACGTGCAGAACGTTTCGTCACGGCCGCCAGTGAACTGTTTCCCTGGGGACACGTTTCGTTGCAGCACCGCTAAGCGCATTAGCATGCTAACGTTTTTGTTGGAACAACTGGCGGCGGGTGGTGTGTTTCAGCTGCTTATAAGGTCTGATGTTAAAAAAATAACATCCCGTTTTCACCATTGCTGAATAGAAAACAACTCTTCAGTGTCGTGCACGGTTAGATTTAATGCGCTACGTTATAATGGAGACGTTATTGCATAGAGACTTTAACGTGCTTCTATTTTGAAAAGCCCGMGGGGGGAGTAGTTTTGCAGTGTAACTGAGTTGACTGGTGTGCAAGGTGAGTCGTCTTTTTAAGTTTTATTAACACGCAACGATAGACCAGATAAATGATTTTTTTCTCAACCCTTCACAATCGGACCTAAATGCATGGTTACTGTCTACAACCAGGCAAAGAAGAAAAGACGTGCAAGAGGAGGGAAACAGTGATACAGAGGTACAGTAAAAGTAAAAAGTTAATAAACAAAGTTTGTACATTTTATTATCAGCTGAGCTGTGAGGGAAAAAAAATACCGTCAAATACCGTGAAACCGGTGTAATTGTTGAAAATACCATGATTTAAAATTTGGGTCATACCGCCCAGCTCTCGATCCAAAGACCTCTAATTTGGACTTATCAGATCAAAGCAGATTTCCACTGGTCTAATGTCCATTCTTTGTGTTCTTTAGCCCAAACAAGTCTCTTCTGCTTGTTACCTGTCCTTAGCAGTGGTTTCCTAGCAGTTGTTTTACCATGAAGGCCTGATTCACACAGTCTCCTCTTAAAAGCTGTTTTACAGATGTGTCTGCTGCTAGAACTCTGTATGGCATTGATCTGTTCTCTAATCTGAGCTGCTGTTAACCTGCCATTTCTGATGACCTGTTCTCTAATCTGAGCTGCTGTTAACCTGCCATTTCTGACGCTGGTGACTCAGATGAACTTTCCGTCCGCAGCAGAGGTGACTCTTGGTCTTCCTTTCCTGGGGCGGTCCTCATGTCAGCCAGTTTCTTTGTAGCGCTTGATGGGTTTTGCGACTGCACTTGGGGACACTTTCAAAGTTTTCCCAATTTTTCAGACTGACTGACCTTCATTTCTTAAAGTGATGATGGCCACTCGTTTTTCTTTACTTAGCTGCTTTTTTCTTGCCATAAGACAAATTCTAACAGTCTATTCAGTAGGACTATCACCTGTGTACTGTATCCACCAACACATGCACAACACAACTGATGGTCTCAAACCCATTTATAAGGCAAGAAATCCCACTTATTGACCCTGACAGGYCACACCTGTGAAGTGAAAACCATTTCAGGTGACTACCTCTTGAAGCTCATCAAGAGAATGCCAAGAGTGTGTGAAGCAGTAATCAAAGCAAAATGTGACTACTTTGAAGAACCTAGAATATAAAACATATTTTCAGTTGTTTCACACTTTTTTGTTGAGTATATAATTCCACATGTGACAATTCGTAGTTTTGATGCCTTCAGCGTGAATCTACAATTTTCATGAAAATAAAGAAAACTCTTTGAATGAGAAGGTGTGTCCAAACTTTTGGTCTGTACTGTATATATATCAATAATTCGATCCCTTTACTAGCTGTTTCAATAGTTTTAGCTACTGTTTTGCTCAGTTACTTTCGCTAAATCTAGCTTGAGTATTTAGTTTAGATTTTTTTTATGTAAATTGATGAAAACAAGCAACTCTTTTTATAAATTTTCCAGAAAGATCGGCTATTTACCTCAGGCCACTTGTCTTGAATGACATCGATTATGTCATCTGTGAAATCTCCCTGAATGATTATTTCATCCTCTGCAGTTACCGAGGCACCACAAGAGAATTTCTGAGCAAAGAATCGCTGAGCGTCTTTAAGGTCAATATCTGCAGGCATATGGGAGTAACACTTAGAAAAAAAAATAAGCATTGAGAAATACAGTTTTAAGGATCTGATTAAATCAAACAAAAGCTCACCAAATGTCGCCAGGCCACAAACCCGTGTGACATATTTCTTCTTGGCTCTTGGTATTTTAGCTATTGTAACCTTCTGAGGCACAGTCTTCTTTTTCTGTTTGATTTGGCCTCTTCCACCTAAAAAAGGTAAAATGAAATAAAGGAGTTGTTTAATGTTCCAATTAGGGCTGCAAAATATCAAGAAAACTGTGATGTGTGAAAACGGTGTTTAATATTGCGATGACAATAAGACTTGTGATAAATAAATTAAAAAATATACAGTGTTGATGTTTTTCTGCTCTGGGTTCAGAGCAAAAAACAACTAATACATAAATTCCATTACAACATGATGGAGTGATTATGATTTGATGTTTCTCTGGTCCATTTTGTTTATCAAACAACATAAATGCAAACATAAGAGCCAATCATTTATTGCAATTTAAGCATTTTTTGCGATATGCATATTGCACTGGCTGTTATCGCGATAAAGAAAAATTTGCTATATGTTGTGCAGCAGCCCTAGTTCCAATGACATGGAACCACATAAAAGCTGCTTTATCATCATCATTATCATCATCAATGTTTACACTACCATTATCCAAGCACCCCCCCACCCCCACCACACACACACACATGCTCATTATATACAAAAAACATTAGCAATTATTGCCCAGTGAAACTCTTGAAACACATTGGACCCACTTTCTCTTTATCTCATTTCTGGAGAATATGGGTTTAGTGGACGGGCCTATCACAATAACTAAAACTGCAGAAGGCTCAGTTACTGTTTTTCATGTAATCCTAACAAAAGATGCTCTTTTTACCTAAACAGATTCACTTCCAGAAAAAGGATTAACGTTTTTGTTTGTTACTGAACAGTTAATTGGTTTTCTTTCTAGATTAGAAACTTTAACTATATAAAGTGAAATTTGGTTAATTTCCAATAACTGGTCAAAGTGGGTCAACGTCCAAAGCATATTTTGTCATCTTAAATTGACTCCAAACTTTAAAGCTTCAAAGCCGTTGATGACACAGTGATGATTAGTTTGTTTGAAAATTAAAGCTATGATTTAGCTATTTATATTGATTTACTAATTTTAAAAATTATTTTGTTGCTTTTAGCATTATGCTAATTTTAGTTGTTAGTCTAATGTTTGAATTTGTTAGAAATTTTTTAGCTACTTGTCTGCTATTAGAATTTAGAAAATTTTTAGCTATTACTCCACTGCTTTTAGGTTTCAGTGTGTTTTACTAATTTTAAAAAGGGATAATATCATGTATAATCAACTTGTGAGTTTTATCATGCTATAATGTTATACTCTCATAAAAAAATGCCCAAAGCCTTGCTCTGACTCATTCATGTATGTTTGAGAAATCCTGCAGTGTTTTTAGGAAGCCATGCTGAGGAGCAAAACGACAGCTGGGGACCAGAAACGCCTTTTGGGACCAGAAATGCCCCTGGGACGTGTCTTTAAGCTGAACTTCCTCATCACGGAGCACACCTCCCCACCCAACCCCACACACCCCACCCATGACTCCTGCAGGCTCTCAGAAACAGAGCAAAAGTGAAAGTGAAACTTAAACTGTCTGCTGAGATCCACTACTTCTCACTCAGTGAAGCTCTTTTCAGATTCAAAATACCTTTGAGGAAATGTATTTTCAGATGCCAAGTAAACTGCATCATAGCGCACACGCAAACACCCCCCCACCCACACACACACACACACACGAAAATTGACGGGGCAAAAGCGGAAGGTGGTTCTTAAACAGACAGATTTCAAGGCGTTGAAAGTGATGAGAAGATAAGTTTATTTTATATTTAAACATAAAAACAGCATTTTAATAACAACTAAAGGTGACATAGATACTTTATTATGGTAAAGAATTTAAATATATGCCTAACACATAATATTGCCCCTTTAAATAATTTAGTTGTCTCCTTTAGCTAATTTTAAGCAATGTTATTCAACACTCAGAAAATGTTTCTCTATTTACATTTGCAAATAACATGAAAAGTTCATGTTGAGCTGTCAAGTGTCAAACTGACAGAAGCAGTTTATAAAAAAGTATTTGAATGAACTGCTGTAAGTTATGAGACTAGAGCTGTTGGTAAATGGCAGCAAGATATTTTAGTCTTGGCTGTGTTGAGACTAGCTGTTAACTCAACAGTCCTTTTGTACTTAAACTATTTCACTAAACTGATGCAGTTTGAATATTTACAACACAAAAACATTGCTTGACTATTACATTACAAGTTTGGACCCTTAAAAATGTCCAAACTATTTGTTTAAGATCTCAGCATTCTTAGTATTTAAAATTAAGTAAACATGAGCCTTTAGATTTTATTAGCCTTTATTAGCGCAAAGGGAAAATTAACTCTCTGCATTTTCTTTTCACAGTTTCACTAACCTACTGTAGAATCATGACATTTGGTACACATGTAATGTCTCAGGATCTACAAAAAATCTGTTGGAGTCATGGTCCAAAKCCCACAGGAAGTCAACGTTTTGGATCAAAGCTGCCAATTTGTCAATTTCTTTAACATGTATCTGAGCTAACTCCCCCCTACAGCTTTGAACATGCAAAGTTCACATGCTGCATGTTTCTCTGGTGGCAGGATGGTGAATGTTGATGTCTTGATGTTTGCACATTGTTAGCTCTAAATCACACAAACATAATCCGATCTGCACCAAATTTTGTATGCATCATCAGAGAGATCATCTCGACACGTTTGTGTAGATTGACAAGATCACTTTAGCCCCCCATCCATCCAACAGTTGGTCACTACTGAATGGCGACAGGGGACATCAGTAACAGTTRGCATTGAGTTCTACCTTACTAAGTTATCACTCTGAGCTATGATTAGTACCAACTTGTAAAAAAGGCAGTCTACCTCCAAAGGTGGATTTGTGATTTTTGTTGCTGTTCACCAAGTGTCTACTGCATAACTACACATACAAGCAACTGTATAGGTTAAAGAGAAATAGTATGTTTAAAGAGGATAAAATACATTTTCTAGGAGTGATTACTTTTGTCTGATTCTTTAACAAACCTGAAAACTGATCATTCAATTAATCCCTTTTTACTATCCAAAAACCTGCCTCTCTTTTGTTTCTTCTTCTCCTCCTCTTCGCCTACATGAGGTGGTTCTCCAGAGCCAGGTTCCTGCTTTGGTGCATTTGCAGCTGGATAAGGAAGAGAAATAAAAGAGATGTTAAAACCACTGGCTAAAATATTGTTTTATCAAAAAACCTGATAACCTGGTGTCTTATGTACAGGAGGCAATAAGATAATCTAACAGCTGACTAAAATGTTGTGTAACCCAGTTAGTTTTAGCACTCAGTGATTTGTTTGGTGTTACTTCAAGCCCCGCCTCCTTCCGCTCTGGAGGAAGGTGCGCTAAAAAGGAACGGCAGAGACACAGAGAGTAGGATATGGGAGAAGACTGCTGACTGTCGGAAAGTTGTATATTGAAATTAACTCAGAAGATTAAAGAAATTGAGCTGGTGTCTGCCTGGAGATCTGCGTGGACCTTGGAGGAACGGAACCAACACTGATGTGAATATATCATCGTGGAACTGTACGATCTGCATGAGTGTGGGTYAAGTGGACCAAATCCCTTCTTTGGTGTTGAAAAGTAGAAGCGTCCTGGCTAGGTTTTTTATTTGGGGATCGTTGGACCTGGAATTCTTCCTACCAAGGAAGATGGCGAGCCTTCCCTTCTGAATCAACCGAGAGCCATTCCAAGTTAGCCTGAGAGAACAAGATGTTCTCCCATCACAACCCATAACAACTGTGTGTGCGGTAGGACATAACCGCACCGTTCACAAACTCTGACTCTTTGGATTGACTTGACTTTTGACTATAAAAGCCGGCTAGACTGATATTATATGAGCTCAGATACGGACTGTTGGTATTGTTGCATTTTATTTTTTCATATTGTTATTCTGGTCTAAAAAAGAATTATATATTGTTAATTGTTGTTACATTGTTTAATACAAAATAGAGCAACTTACCTGTGACTTCAGTAATTCTTCTGCATTGCACTTCTTACCTTAGTCCTACAAAACCTAGTCATTGGCCCAATCTCTTATTATATCTTGAAGAGGTTACAGTTGGAAGCTAACCCCACAGTACACGAAATCATTTATAGCCTAATGCTGCGTTCACACCGAACGCGATTTCAGCTTCAAAATCGCAGGCAACGCTGAAGTTTGAAGCTTGTACACTTTGATGTCAGACGCAGGACAGCTCTTGAAGCGCTGCACGGAAAGAGCCTCCCCGCCCCTCCCTCCTCTGTCGGGCTCTGTTTAATGTCGGACGAGGAWGTGGCTTTGCTTTATTTACAGAGAGCAAGAGCATGTCACGTTCATCAGATAATTAATTCATAATTAATTCACCAGATAATTCAGAGTAGAGGCTCACAGCTCGATTTCAGGACTATTTTTCCAGTCTGATGAGCCGCTGCCACACATTGGTGCGGATATCTCCTGTCAGGACAACGACTGCAGGCATTCGATTTCAGCTAAAGAGCTCCTCTCCATCTGTTTCAGGTTAGTGGACATCATTCAGTAAACTGTCCCGTCGGGAAATATGTCACTACGTCACACAGTGGAGTCTCTCTGATTGGTTGATGCGGCGCGTCGAGCTGCAAAAGTTCAGATTTTCTAACTTCAGCGATTTGCGCCTCAGCGCGTCGAACGCTCAGATCGTTCAAATCGCGCTGCTCTAACCGCGCTTGAGGTGACACAGCACTTCCTGACGTTGCTTGAAGTGCGTCCACCATAGACTTTGTATGTAAACCTGATGCTCCTGATGCTGAAATCGCGTTCGGTGTGAACGCACCATTAGGCTAGTGGTTCCCAAACCTGGTCCTCAAGGCCCACTGTCCTGCATGTTTTAGATGTTGCCCTGCTTTGACACACCTGATTTGTATTAATGAGTGAATAACAGGCTTCTGAAGAACCTGAAGACTTGTTGAAGTGCAGGGCAACAACTAAAACATTCAGGATAGTGGGTCTTGAGGACCAGGATTGGGAACCACTGCCCTAGGCTAATTTGCAAGGTCAATCTCTAGCAACTTAATAAAAAAAAAACTTATAGCAAATTAATATTTGTAATTCTGCTCTCGAAACATTGATTTCTATTAGTACATGTAAAAAGTTCAGTTTGTAGCATGATTCCAAACTGTCAGGAAACTGTTAAAATCTAGATTCTCATATAATGTTTGGAAATGCTCTCGAGTTACCTTTCTTATTTTCAAAAATATATACAAGTCGGTCCTCTGGACGGGTTCTTCTTTAATGAAACATTTTATCTCTCCTTCAAGAGACTTATTCAGACTGAAGAAGTGACTGTGTTCAAATAGGTACAATTAATGTTCTGTGTTAGATGTAAGAAAACTCAGTACGGTCCAGTCACGTAGACTATTAATCCAATCTGTTTATTATTTAAAGGAGACCAATTATAGGTCCTAGAAATGTTTATGGTATGTCTGTGACCATGTTCATTCAATTTAATGCACAAAATAATTCTAAGATAATAAAATTTCTCATTTCTAGTCCTGCCTGCTCTGACTTCCATTCAGAACGCGCTGTTTATGTTAATGAGCTCTGTTAGTAACGCCCTCCAAACTCCATCCTCCAGAGCCAGCGTTTACATTAGCATGGCTAGAAATAGCAGAAGCTCCATTGTACAACCGTACAGATGAGACCCTGAGTCAGACCCAGAGGCAGAGTCGTGGTCGCAGCTTTTTTTTTCTCCCCCTCCTCTGTCGGAGCTCTGCACTCACTCTGCATGCTGTTACCAGGGCAGGTAATTGGAGCAGCTGCGGTCAAAATACCTCAGAAACTCGAGCAAATAGGCTAAAGCTAAAAACAATAGAGGTACATGAGAAAATGTGTTCATAACGAACGAAAATAAATGATTAAATTGTTTGTGTCCATGACGGTCTCGAACCCTAGTCTCCCACTCTCTGGTCCAACATTCTACCCATTGCCCTATTGGAGGCTTGTTGTGAAATGAGCTGCACATTGCACAACAACAACCGTGARGGCTTTTTATACTGGAGGTGGAGCCTCACCCGGGGGATGCTAGGTGAGGGGCTGAATGTAGGTTCCGGTGGGTTGTCGTACGGCTTGTGACATCACAAAATGTAGTATAAAACTTGTCATTAATATACATTAAACATACATTTACAGTAAATATGCCCCTGGGTGCATTTCTTTGGTCCTAGGACTGTTTTTTTAAGAAGTACATACCCAAAGTTGAGTAAAAAAAAAAACTTTAAAAAGTGAATTTTGCATAATAGGTCCCCTTTAAGTTCATTAGGTAATCAACTCAAGGTAAAAAAAAAAAAATAAATTTAATTGCTTTTGTCTCCAAGGATGTAGTTACTCAAAGACAAATTTATATACAATTTGCCCTAAATTGTTCAGGGAAACATGCCTCCAGATGTCTCTCCATACAGTGCCACTCAGCTAATATTCTAAGCCAATAATGTCAATACTACAACTATTTTAATAAGTGTGAGGACGTTCAATACAACCACCTTGTAATCATATAAACACTCACCTAGAGTCATCCTGGCAAACACATCTGGAAAGTTCTTCTCAAGCCACTGTCTGCACTTGACTGGCTCAGGCATGTACTCACAGTACTGTGAACACATTATTTTACAACCATGCATCACTGCTTGCAGCTTATCAACCATTACATCTTGGCACTGTACATTTGGTCTGAAATCCAACTCACCTCTGTAGGCAGGGAGCACACTGCAAAAAAAAAAAAACAGCAGAACAAAAATGTATGAACATACAAAGCGAGATAGAAAAATGTTGATGCATGCAAAAATAACTGTTTATAAATTGTACCTCCACAATAAAGAACCTTGAGTGGATATTTTGAATCTGGGTCAGCTGTTCCTTGCTCTGACTTGATTTCTGAAGACCCAGAGTCCATCTCAGTAGTAGCCATCACAAACTTAACAAAAATGTAAATAGATTATGGTTAAAAAACAACATCACGTTTGCAAGAGATGCATGTGGTTTTGAGTTTGAGAAATTCATTTCACACCAAAGAAATTAAGTACAGGATCCACTAAAATTTCACAAATCACTGACACCAACAAAAATCTGCAACTAAAGATAATTTTTCATAATTCATTTGTCATTTTATTTCTAATAAATAATCTTGTTTTTATTAAATTAAATGTTTACTGTGAAATTTACCTTAAAATGACCACAGGCTGACTGAATAAAATGAGCTGACCATTTTGATAAATGGCTAGCAAGCAAACAAGCATGCAAAGTAGTTAGAATATTAAAATTGTACAGAAAAAAACAGAGACATGAAAACGTTGCTAATTCTGAATTTATATTTGAATAAAAGCGCACAGAGGTGTGGACTGACTTCTGTCACGACTTGAACTTGAATCGAATCAGACTCTATTCACTCTTTGATGACTTCAGACTCAACATGATAAAACCACAAAAGTATTTTGGGACTTGACTGACACGTTACACTTTTCCAGCTGAGTGAGCTGCCATTAYTTTTGTTTCTATTTGTGCAACTTAGATCACCATCATATGGTACTACATTTCCATCCTCTGTCATCCTGCCTGTAAGACAATAAATTTGGCTTAAATCAAATGACTCTGAAGAGAGCAGCATATGGTCTTGTCATACAAGCTTTGATTGATGTCACTCCTGCTGAGCCCAGGTGGCCTCAGTTGGACAGATACATAGTTTTTTTTCTCAGTCTTTGCTGGCTTCAGCACCACCCTGCAGAAACCCTAGCATGTTGACTAAGATTGAATTTACAAAACTTTGTTTTAGTGATTTCAAAACAATTCTTGTGCATTTTGGACATTCATGGACAACAACAGCAATTCGATTTTCTGACACTAAAATGTTAAAAATCCATGTCTCAAAGAGGAAGTATTTAAACTCCTGGCATCATTTCAAGGGAAAACGCAATTTGTATAAATAAAAAACGTGTTCACACATGTTCAAAAAAAGTGTGTCGCTACATCTGAAGTCTATATACATTCTCCTAAATCTGTTTAGATTTAAAGTAATGTGTAGCAGGAACCTAACCTCCACATGGGTCCAAATGATACATTTAGCATTTTGGAAAAAGACTCAGAATAAATTATTGAGGGAAAGGATGTCATTATTCACATACCTGAGCTGAAAGGGTTAAGCACATGCTTGTGTTTGAAACATAAATGTCAACACCAGCTAGTGACCCAGCCATCTACAGCAACTTCAGCTGCTACTAGGGGTGTCCCGATCCGATATTGATATCGGACATCGGTCCGATATCAGCCAAAAAATTAGTATCGGATTTTATCGGCCTGCATAAAAAATGTCCGATATAAGCGCTCCYATATTAGCAGTTCAATCCAGCAGTTCCCTGACTCCACTCCAGTTTTTCTATCCATCAGCGTTTGGATCCA